TTATCCCTTAGCTTGCAATTATAAGGGGCGATAAGAATAATATCCTATTTCCTTTCACCTTTGCCGTACTACCATCTTTTTATTTTAAACCTTTTCTTAACGATGTGAACCATAACGAGCCGATCGTTGAATCGGATAACGATAACGGAAAATCGCGAAAATTACCGCACTCCGAATACAAATTTGTAGATACGACCGGAAACATTGATCGTCTAATATTTTCTTCTTTTCCGTATCACGATCTGTTTGGTTTATCATTCTATCCGGATTACAAACTACTAGTGTCCGTTCCCTTCGTTCCTCCGTGGTTTTCCTTTCGGTCGACGCCAATATTTCCTACGACTTTTCAGTTCCAGCGACACACACGTACATATAGGAAAGATAGAGCTTATATGCAGCTTTTCTTGTTTGGTCGGACTGTAGAAAACGGAAGGCAATCACTTGGGATTTTATCCGAGATTACTATGAACGCGAGAAAGGGACGATCGCTTGAAAACGTCGAAAAGAAGGGGCCGAGCGAAAGAAAAAGTAAAAAGAAACGCGTTTTTCGTAGCTGGAGAAACTATTCAATTACACGGGATAAAATTCAAGATACTTTGTATATAAACGCGCGGTCGAAAACGTTCGCTCGGTTTTGTTCCTTCGTTTGCCGATGCGTAGGTTGGTTCGTGTAGTTTTGTGTTTTTTTATCTATATCCGTTACGTCCCATTCTATCGTTATACGGAAGTATACTACAGGGAAGAAGGAAACGATAAGAAAATAGCGAATAGGGTAGAGTATGGCGGGTGACGTGATAAAACATCGTAAGATAACGGTTCATGGAGAAAGCTTCGACCAAAGGGTGGAAGACAAAGGAAACAGATGGTGAAAATTAGAGCCGCGCGGTACGCAAACTTTGTTTTCTTTAGTCGAATTCGATGGACACGAAAGCAACGCGCCGTAACCAAATATAACATCCCCCTGACGGGATTCACAGGCGCGTCAAGTTTCGTAAAGCCTGCGCTAATCGTATTTGGGAGCTGTTGAACACGCCCGGAAACCAAGTTATACGGGAACGAAGCAACGAGTGTTTCGCGCTGCTTCGAATTCTATACATTCGTACTTATGCACGTGCTCTCGTTTAATCACAGACACGGTCAAGGCGAGAAAACGTGCGCGCCCTCGCATCACGTCGCTCGTTAATCCTCCTAATTGAACTCGACGTTTCATTTCGTTCGATTCCTTTTACTTTTAGCATAGGAGAATCGCAGAGGAAAAATACGACAAGTACAGTTTCCTTCATCTTCTGGCTTTCATGATTATTTTGTGGTAGTTCAAAGGTAGTATTTTAATGTGATTCACGCTAACGATAAGGATAACGATAACGATGACGTGATGTTTCGTGCGCGTAGAAAAAGAAAATGGAGAGAACTCCATTGTGCCAATACTTTCTGTGGCCGTAGCACGGACAGCTTTTGAATTTAACCCATTGAATTTAATTTACGAGTCACTGGCGATAAAATGTCGCACGTCCCTCGAACCGTCGAGGTTTAATTTTTCTCGGTTTCGGTCGACCGAAAGAGGCGATAAGAAAAACGCCAGAGAGCACTCGATATATCGCAAGCATCGCTTGTTCAAACGTTTAAATAGCTATTCGCACTTTCGATAGGCGATGCTAATTCTCGTAACCCTCGCATTTCCATGGCGTTTCGATAATTCTCCCCTTTCGGTAGGCGACCGTCTTTTGCGGAAACGGCTCGACGAATGGATGAAACCGATCGAATCCGATCCCTTCGCCACAAAACTAATTACGTTCGTAAAGCCATTAATATTCCCGGGGCATATTAATCCACAAAGGAAGTCACGATCAGGTTGGATGTCCGATCTAATCCGTCGAAGAGCGACGAACCTTGTTTGTCGTGGCTACTCGATCGATCGGAATTACGCGAGGCAATCGTAACAACGAACGTGTATTACATTCTGTCGAACAGATATGGCAAACGGATATCGTAAAAATAGCAGTCAGGGATGTTGATATTCGCGCCAACTTCGTTGCAGTTGTTCGCCGGAGAGCTGTTCCGTTCGAAAATATTTATAAAAAGGTCTGGCATGTATCTGTCGGGCCAGTCATAACATCCGCGAGATTAAACGATATTCGTACGAAATTCTATTTCCCAGTTCCTCCAATTTCAAATTTATGACTCCGTGAGTCGAATACGTCTGCTCCGCCTGCTGCAACGGAGCACGTATACGCGCTGCCCTATCGCTTACCTTTCAAATTATTCTGACTGGCAACCCCCTACCAAGCCACGGAGAAATTCACGATAATTGCCGCGTCACAGTCGATCGTAAGCTAAGCAAGACTGTCAGGAAGACTGACATCGACTGCGTACCTACTTTCGTTATCGAATAACATCGATGCTCTCGTCACCATTGCAGTCTCTGTTGCGTCTCTATATTACTCCAAACTACATTATGTCGGATATCTATCGTACTCTGCAACCGTTGTCGATATTCTACAACCGTAAGCCCATGCTGTCTTAGCACGTTCGCGAATAGTCTCGCGAAGCATCTCGTCGATCTTGGGACGTTTATTTAGTCGTTCGATAAGCTCCAGATTATATTTCGCAAAGTAGATCCGCTCTTAACGCAATATTCGTGCATCGTTTATACTTATATTGTGTGTTTATCGATATCACTATAGTAGCAGCATTTTTCTTTTTTGTTTTTTAGATAACAGTTATTATTTTTACCTTATCTCGCGTGTACGCTTCGTAAAGTAAGAAAAATTTATTTCGAGCAATACAAATGTGTACATTAGTTACATCTCTGTATCACCTTCTTATACGCATACGTCGTTACGATCGATCGTTAATCGCGCAATGCTCGCGTGAGAATGGACCTTGCCGAAATTCTCGGTGAAAATGAGGGGTTTAGATCCCAATGTTTAGCAGTGTGTGTGCGGCATCGGATATTGATTGAATGGGATGCCATGGGAGGTGTGCGGCAAGAAGGAATAAAACGTTGGAGGGAGAGAAGGAGAGCCGGTGACTGTCAGAAGGGAGAGCGACAAAAGGGACGAAGGATGGATGATACTTTGCTCGTTAGTCGCTAATCATCGTCATTTCCGTTCAAAAATCAAAAGCTCGTGCTAAACAATCTTTTAAAAATCGAAGAACAACGTGAAACAATTTTTGTCGATTACATTTCCTTCTTATCTCACGATCGACTAACTCGATTTTTTTCAATCCGTACTATTTCTGGCTAGAAACAGAGTATAACGTCGCTTAAGCTTTCTCGATATCGTAATTTCGATGAGAAACCAAGAAAAGAGACGATGAAAGAATCGTAATGATCCAGCGATCGGTGATTTGCTCGATCAATCGATTCGTTTTCTCTGGTTAACAAGTTAAAGATACGTACTTGCGGTGTACGTCAAACCGACGTCGACGAACTTGAAAATTCGTACGACAAGCTTTCGCTGTAACAGCATCCTAAGGCAATTTCGCTTGTCCCGTGGTGATAGGGGCGGTTGGTTGAAACGTCGAATCGAGGGTGAATCTCGAGGGTGAGTCATCGGTGGAACCCCGCGGAAAACTGGGAAACTTTCTTCTTTCGGAATGTCTTGAGGGGCAAAGGAAGAGAGCGATGAGTCATCGAGACGAACCGGATCGCGTCGATTCGATTTGTCATGACAAAGCGTTCCGCCCATTCGGATGTAACAGGGTGAGGCTAGGTTCGAGAAAGAGGGCGATGCAATTATTACTCGGTCTTGTATGTTAGTTCAGAAAGAAAATTTCGATGTTCGTTGGTACTCGTTTTCTCGAATCGAAGGCTCCGATTTCATCCGGTTTCGCATGGAGCCAAGGAGAAAAAGAATCGCGGTCCTCCGAGCTCCGGTCGACCTCGTTCTATCGATTTACCGGGGAAAGCCGAGCAGAAGCGACGCGAAGAAACATTCCGGGCAGCTGCGTTTCCCGTACCGTTGCGGAAGCACCTGCACCCAACGATTTTAGCCCGTTTATCGTTTCGTCTTCGGAACTAGAGCCGATGCTAAAAATCTCTCCTCCAAGCATTCGTTGCGCGTACACCGGAAGTCGAGTGCGTACACTCCCGTTCATAAATTATTACGCCGCTCCACCTACGATCGGTCGCTCCAGATTTCGACGAACCTTTGCTTTTTTAGGTCGATCGATCGATGTTTTGGATTCCGTAAGATAACGATCGAGAATGTACGACAAAAGTTGGCGGAAACCAATTGGAAAAACTGTAAAATAGTCGCAGAAGCCGGCTCCACCATGTTCCAGTCTATATTTCATTGAAGAAATATGAATTCGATGGACGATTCCGATTGATACCGAGTCTGAGAAGTTTGACCAAAAATGAAACTCGATTACGCGTACAATCGGTAATATCGTCATATCGTAGCATCGAATATATTAATTTCTTTACGGTTTATCGTTTCAAACGACGTAGTAACGCCGAGAAAAAGATATAATAACTTTGTACGAATTTCTCAAAAGTATCTCTTCTTTAGTCTCTAAGGTACTTATGAATGGGGTTGTACGTACCAAAACCACGAACGTAATTTCAACATCGATTCCGTTGAACCTTCCGATCTAGAAATAGCTCTGCTTGTAAAACGCACTCGCTTTTCGTTCACAGATCCTCCTCTGTTGTTATTCGTTTATCGTTCTATACCTCGTCGGATCAAACAGCTGCAAATTTAGAAAAACGTCGAATACGTCTCCTTTCTTTTTTGTAGCTCGGTTCTCGTACTATTTATCGTCGGTATGCCTCTCGAACGTTCGCTGTGATTGATCTCGGAAAATCAATCGCCGATGGATACGCGCGTACAAAGAAAATTCATCTCGGCTGCGTATGAAACGCGTTGTTACGAGGGCGTAGATGAACGCGTATTATGGCTATATCGACAGAGAGTAACGAATGACACGCAGGAAATCAAGTTTTTCGAAGCCGCGAGACAAGGATGGCAACATTTACGCTAGGCACGAAGCATTGAAACGTAGACGTTTCGATAGAAAATCGATTTCCGGTTGAGGTTCGTGCGGATCGCGCCAGCAACACGCTCGCTTCGTCCTGTTCGTTGTTTCTTTGTTGCGACCGAGCATCGATCGGTGCCGCAATCGAACGTGCTTTAGAAATTTCCGCGTAAAGTAAACTCGTGACCAACTTGCAACTCCATACTCCGTACTCCGTACTCCGTACTCCATACTCCATACTCGTCTACAGGAAGGATTTCGTATTCGAGGAAGCGCCGTCGCGTTGTCGTTGTCGTTGTCGTTGTCGTTGTCGTTGTCGTTGTCGTCGTCGTTGTCGTTGTCGTTGTCGTTGTCGTTGTCGTTGTCGTTGTCGTTGTCGTTGTCGTTGTCGTTGTCGTTGTCGTTGTCGTTGTCGTTGTCGTTGTCGTTGTCGTTGTCGTTGTCGTTGTCGTTGTCGTTGTCGTTGTCGTTGTCGTTGTCGTTGTCGTTGTCGTTGTCGTTGTCGTTGTCGTTGTCGTTGTCGTTGTCGTTGTCGTTGTCGTTGTCGTTGTCGTTGTCGTTGTCGTTGTCGTTGTCGTTGTCGTTGTCGTTGTCGTTGTCGTTGTCGTTGTCGTTGTCGTTGTCGTTGTCGTTGTCGTTGTCGTTGTCGTTGTCGTTGTCGTTGTCGTTGTCGTTGTCGTTGTCGTTGTCGTTGTCGTTGTCGTTGTCGTTGTCGTTGTCGTTGTCGTTGTCGTTGTCGTTGTCGTTGTCGTTGTCGTTGTCGTTGTCGTTGTCGTTGTCGTTGTCGTTGTCGTTGTCGTTGTCGTTGTCGTTGTCGTTGTCGTTGTCGTTGTCGTTGTCGTTGTCGTTGTCGTTGTCGTTGTCGTTGTCGTTGTCGTTGTCGTTGTCGTTGTCGTTGTCGTTGTCGTTGTCGTTGTCGTTGTCGTTGTCGTTGTCGTTGTCGTTGTCGTTGTCGTTGTCGTTGTCGTTGTCGTTGTCGTTGTCGTTGTCGTTGTGTTCTCCACGACGAACAACGTCGTTGTCGGCTATGGAGTCAGCGAACGTGACGCCGTTTCCCTGTTATTCGCTTCGCTGCGTTAAATTCGAAGTGCATGCTTAATTTAAGACACCGGAGAGAGAATGTGGGAATATCGACGTTCTTCGAAGAAAAACATACGGTGCCAGCCGCTTTCTTCTATTTCTGAACGCATCTTTCGAAATTCGCTTTTAGATCGGATTTCATTTCGCCGATATTTTACCGTCATCTGTTTTCAAAGTAATTACGACAACGAACAAAATATCGTTATCGCGTTACGAATATTTATGGACATTCGTATTTTTACCAATATAATTAAACGCCTGGAACTTAGATAGGAAATTGTTTTATTCGTTAGATATCGCAAAGGATACTACACTTTGCATACCTAATACGTTTTTCCACGTTATATAGCTCCGTAGTTTCTGGCTATTTACTTATTTATTTCAATTTCTCGTAAACGTATAAAAATCTGCAGCCTAATTATGTAAGAGTAACGGAGAACAATACGGGAAAAAACGTTATAGCCAGCCTAGGACTATTCCATTCAACGTCCGAGCTTTTTGTATGAAATCGATGAAATAGTGGCGAGAGAGGAACCGTAGATTTCCGATAACGATCGTGGCTGCTTCGTACGATAATAGACGCGTCGACGATTACGATTACGATGCATCGTCGACCTCGGCTTTTCTCAGCCGTCTCGTGAATCCAACCCAGCATCGTAATTCGGCAGGAATTTACGGTCGCGCGAGCGTCTATAGCCTATAGTTTATATCGTGCCATGCGTATCCAGCTATTTCGGTGCTGTTTCAAATAAAACGAAAGCAAAAACGGAGCTGCATATGGAAATTGCCGGTGTACACGATGCGTAACCAGAGATATCACCCTTCGTACGTAAATAGCCAAGTTACTACCAACTATCGTAGTATATTTCGTACTTGACCTTTTTGAAAGGTCTGACGTGCACGACAGGGTGAAACGCACGCGAAATACCTGTATCGAGTTTTGTTTTTTACACTTCGTTTCGTACCTTCAGCGGTGAATATGTTTGGCGATTAAATCGAACGTGAAGGTGAAAAAAAATCGATCGTCGATCGCGATTTCGTGCTTTCCACTTTCCAACAAGCGTCCTCTGTCTACGTATAGGTCGTCGAAAGATCGCGTTCGTGTTCGACGACGATGACTCGAAAGAGTACGTTACGAAGCTCGCGCAGATAACGAGATAAAAAAGAGAAAGAAATACCGTTCGTTCGATATGAATGGGTTAATTTGGACGCTAGATCTACGTTCGCGAAAGTCAGCGGAGTCTCTTTTTAGTGTTCGTGAAAAACCACCGAGAGAAATCGTGATTTGAATATAGGGCGAAATTTTACAGAGAGCAAATGTTCCCTGGCAAAGATCCAACACGATTTTCGCTGAAATATTACCATCTTCGACTCGTCGCGCGTTTCTTCTAATCCTCTCATTTTATCGCTTTCTCTCTCTTTCTCTCTCTTGAGAGGCAGACAGAAAGAGAACTATAGAAGAGCATCGTGAACACGAGCAAAGACGAGAACGCAAACTGGTAATAGAGAAAACGAATGCAAACACAAGCAGAAATACGAACGGTTCAGGGGATGTTGAAACGCGAGATCGGTTGACGTCGATAATTGAGGTGTCGATGCCTCTGACTGGTGCAAGCGCACGCTGTAGGCAACAGTGGTGAGCTAGCCATTGGCAGCCTGCCAGCTACTCTTCCTGCCATCGATGCCTTCGGTGTTGACCGACAAACAAAAGGGACCTCGATGCATTGTCCTCGACGAGACCGAATGCAGGTCGAGGATTCATCCAACGACCGGCTCTCCCGTTCTCGGCTGATATTGCATTCCGTAAAGGACGATCGGCGTGCTTGTCGCCGTTCGTCCCAATACCTTGCTGCCTCGTAACGAACTTTCCTCTCCTTGTCTTCGCATCGCGCGTGTTCACGCGCGATAATTTCAGCGAAAAGGAAGTATCTTTTCCGAATCCTGCCTAGATATAATCGAGAATGAGATTTGCGTTAGCTTTAAACCAGCTTCTCTTAGAGACCGAACTCGTCCGATCCTGGCAAACGATCGCCAGTCTCCCGATATCTCTGACAAAACGTGCACGGCGTCGCGTTGATTAAAAATGAATGAAGTCATTCGTATCCCCGACGTCGAGGGCAGGTCGGGCAGACGGAGGATAGGCCGAGTAGAATTGGTAGGAAGAGCGGAGACCGATCGAAAGGCAGTTGATTGACGGGAGCATGAAACGGCAATCGCGGGCTAATGCCCTGCGAACACAGAGAACGGACCTTTCTCGCACGTTCTTCGCTATCTCGTCCTTCGCCTATCGTTAACCTTAGTTTCGCTTCGATATTGTTTACGACTGGTCGACCGACCACGAAAAGAAACTCGACTAATTTGAATCGCAAAACAAGACGAGTCACGAGTTCAGAAATCAAGACGAGCGGCAGAACGGACGAGGTCGAATCGGTTGCCAGGCGATATGCGGAATATATAGGATTAATAGGGTGTTCCGGCTGTCCTCGCCGACACAGCCACGTAAGTAGCTGTCTCGGAATGTCGGAGACGTTCCGGAAACGGAAATAACGAGCTACAGCACGATGTAACGTTGGAACACGCGAGAACATGCTCGCCACGAGATAAACGACCTCTTCACATTGCTAACCGATGCAAATTAATTAAGAGAAACCACCCCTTGCTTGTTGACGGTGCTGCTAAAATATGTAGCGGAGAGAGTCGTGTCTGCCAACTACCTTACTGTCCGGAATTCCTCCAACGAGCAATATAATCCGCGCGATAGCTTAAACTTAAGACTCGTGCAAATTCTCAATCCAGGTAGTGTTCGTTCTTTCGATATCTGCGAACGTCTGTGCGATTCCGTATTTTCCTCAATAGCTAATACCATATTCGTATGCAAGATCGTAAATCATTACATCGAGTATCCAGAGGTTCTTGAGCTCGTTAAGTTGCTCCATGTGCAACTCTCCTTTCAGGAGATTCTTAATTTTCTACGCATCTCCATGCGGATGCAATTACGCTTCCAGCAGTTGCATTAATCGCACTTGCTAATTTATTTGGCCGTCGATTAGACTTCCGTTGCGAATCGTTTCCTGTTCTTAAGAAAAATGTTGGAAATGCAGTGTGTAATTCACTGATACTTTCGCCCCATTTACGATCCGTTGTTATTGACAATCGCAATTATTTGTTCATTTTATATTATCGTATTCTTCTTTTCTATCAAAACGTGCTATCCATACGTAAATAATAATAGTAGTAACAATAATAATAATAATAATAAGCAGAAATTTGTTCCTCGCAAAATATCATAATGGATAGAATTGGATACAAGAAACGTGACGAATATAACTATTTTCGAATAACGGTAGCTACAGATTGGATCAAATTCGTCTATTCATATACTCTCGAAATTCAGCGAGGCAGAATAATCGATCGACGAATCGCTTTGTACAACAGGGAAAACGACAATGGCTAATCGATTCGCGAGCGTGGCTGCAATCCATTCGTACGTTCGTTTATAGAAACTTGAAAGAACCTTTGGTTTCCATTTCAGATCCGCATAGCGTTCGAAGCGCAACTCGTCGCTTAACTCGTCGCTTGACTCGACGAGCAGCACGACGGCGACGACGACGGTGACGGCGACAGCGACGACGGCGGTTCTTCTCCTCCGTTCGGTGAGTAGATCGATCGTTTTGACAGTTTACGTATGCACAGCATCTCGCGAAAGTATTTCAACGCCGAGATACGACATCGGAAAAATATTTGAACAGCCAATTCCCGTTATATCGACGAATCTCTATGTTCAGCGTGGTCATCCCTCGACGCTTATCGTACGTTCAGGATGGTCGTTCGTGCTGTATATTAATTCTTTACACGGTGCACGAACGGTCGTCGTTTCTTGCTCGGAAACGATCGTCGAGAAACACAATCACTTTCTGCCAGTAGCCGCGCCAAATGGTACCGAAGAGCTGTAGTCGCGAAAATTTTGACAAACAGCCAGAATTCGTTTTGTTCGTCCTTCTCCCTGGAGGAAAGTCCATCTACGTGTTACACGGTTTTTCATTCTCGCTACACCGTGACCGAACGTTCGTTCGATTTTCCATTGCACTCACGACCATTCGTCTTGTCCAACTTCACCGGCGGACCATCGGTCCACGTTCCGTTCTTCCGTACCTGTTTTTCCCTCAGGGGAAACTTCTCTCACTTAATTAGAGGAAACACGTTAGTTGCCAATTTGTCGGAATTGGAGAAACAAAAATTTCGAAGGAAGGAAACGACGATGAAGCAACTGGAATGACAAAACGCAGGGGGAGAAATAGAGAAAGGAATCTTATCGTAGGAAGAAACGCGCTATCGATCATCGAAATTTCCAATTCCAGCTTGTTCGAATATCGTTCGCGACAAGTGGGTCAACCCTAGCGAGATTACGGTACGATCGTGCTTCTACGATAATAGATTCTCCCTTTCTGTCTTTGTTTCTCCTTCGACCTCGTATCAAACGGAAAATGAAAAGACTCGTTTCTTTTTGTTACGACACCGAGCCCCTTCAGAGTCCGTCTCCACGGTATCGCTTCCTTCTTTTGAATACCGTGGCAAAGCAAAAGATCAGGAGCAATATCCGACTAAAAAAGAATTTCTCTGCAAAGTAATCATCTCGGAAAAACGGCTTCTTTCGTCAAAGAAACGAAAAGAAACGACTTTACGAAGCTGAGCGTGCAAGAAAAGGGCCGATAGGGAGAGAAAAGAGGGAAAGAGAGAGGCAGATGTGGTCGTAAGAGCACTAGAATTACCACGCTACGCTGGCCCTCCTCTGTTTCGACCCTTTTGTACGACTCGCTACCGCGATTGTCGGTAAGCATTAAGCCGCTCGATCATTTTTCTTCTTCCCGCGCTTCGTCATTGTCGGTTTCACGATTGGGGAAGCATCGAGTTGTTCGCGGATAGACACGATGCGTAATTTTCTCCGCAACTTTTCGAACAATGCTCACACCCTACGCGTCGGTTTCCCCTTTCTCGTCTATTCTACGTTCAAACGATACCGTTTACGCGCAATGCGCGTTTAAGTCTTCGTCTCGGTCTTTGTACTTCTGCTACCCACCTTCCATCAAGAAGTATCCGATATCTTCTTAAACTGACTTTTTAATCGTTTCGAACGTTCTCCGATTCTTATCGAATTCTCGTTGAATTCTCGTCGATCGAGAAAGAAACAAATATGAAAATTTAGTCGCGTCACAGCAATGGCATATTGGTATTCTTTGGACACATCCTTTTGCCACTTGCGTAGCTTGAACGGAAGATCACGATGCTAGGTACAAACGAATCAACAGGCTTTGCATATACGTTGACGGGCAACAACTTTTGTGCGTGTGCCTCGTAGTATACTTAGGTGTATAACGCAAGTAGATAAGTCCGGTCAGTTTCACGGTTCGATCACTGCAGCGTCCGTGCGTCCTCGTTTTCTATCGTACGCGATGCGTTCTGATAAGTCGCGTACAAGACGACAATTCGCTTGATTTATTTCACGCTGTTGGACTATCCGATAATTCGATTTTCTTTTTACGTTTCAGGCGGCGCTGTCACCTCCGAAAATGCCACAGCTCCGCATCGATTGTTCCAAACTAACTCCTTCGAATCATTAAGACGCCTACACTAGAAACATAGCAGAATACTCGGTAAATATTTCAAACCGGATCGATGTTCGACTTCACGCCCACTTCGGGAAAGTTCGATTCCCGAATCTGAAAGCGAAAAATTGCAAAATTATACGCGTGCAATTTTTCACGCGCGATATCTCGCCCTCGAAAGTTCTACGACGAACGAACGAAACGTCTCTCTTTCAGAACAAGATGTCAATGACGGGAAGCTTAATGGGTTACGAAAATAATAACGAGGTAAATCAAGCAAAGTGCAAAAAGCCATTAAAACCGCTCCCGATAGTGTCCAGCGTAAACTCCAGCGGTATCACGACTACCAACAAAGCGAAAAAGCCACGAAGGTCTACTAGACGAAACTCTTGTATACGAGGTCACGTGAATAGTTTGTGGTCCGTCTGGTACGGCGTTTTGGCGGTCGCTTTTCAAGCTTACATCGGCTTGAGATACGCAAAAAGGTTTGCCGGTAAGTGAAATCGTCGTTTTTCGGATTGAAAGAGGAAACTTGGCTTTCCATGAAATTCACGGAAGAAACGCGGTACGTAGTGCGGTAACGTACAGTGATTCGCGAAAATATTTCAACGCTTATGGAAATCTTTTGTACACGTGCAAAATTTCAAGTTGGCGTTGACGGATTTTTTAAATTATTACGCTGTATGAAACACGATCCAAGCTTTGGTATATTTTAACGCGAAATTTCTGTTCCGTTTCGAACTTTACCAATACGATCACGACAGCCGTGTCCAGTTACAATATCGATTAAGTTCCAAATAGTTTGCTGTAACGCGAGTAACATATTCACGAAAGTTTCTCGTCATAATGTTCAAATATAGTAGAACTTTGATTATCGGAATTAATCACGACACGTACTGTTCGGACGATCAAATAACTTTATTTTATTTTCGAACGAGAGAAACGAGTATCATCTCTAAATTTTCTAACTCTGCTACACTTTCGCGAGACACTGTATACCTTCGACGTGACAGGTTGGTTGGTTATATTTGCAGCATATTTATCGTTACCTTGGCCGGCGGACGCTCCACCGCCCAAGGTGGAGTTATACGCGTGTCTGGTGCTAGCCGGAGCCGGGGTTGTCCTACTGCCGGTTCTGCTTGGCGCGGCCTTCCTGAAGCTAGGCAACCTGGCGAACGATGGAGTGAAGCTCGGTCGTCATTTGAGCGCCTGTTCACGCGACCCGCCTTCATCCTTGCTTACCAACAATCCTGACCACAGTGAGTATACGTGCCATGTATTTTTCATCCCGGTTTACGTCCTCTCCTCCGTCAAACGTCCAAGCTGAGATGTTTCGCTCGACAAAGCGTAGAAAGCAGAATCATTTGTAGCTACACAATTCCCGTGCTGTCGATTCGCAGGTTTGGCGAATAATTTATGGCGACACGGAGGTCCCACGGCTGCTTTCGTACACCTTTGCACAGCCATGTGCTTCCTGCTGCCCTCGCTGCTCATGGAGGCTAGATTGATACACGCTGGATTTCTGCCAAAAGGTAACGACCGACACCTATCGCTGTTTCTCTTCGTGTTCCGCAATTACGGTGACGCGTGTTTCGAATGGTTTCGCTTTTCATTAGCAACGTGATTAATTTTTGCGGACAGTTATACGATTCGAACGATATTTCAGGATAACCATGATAACGCGTTGTCTCTCCTGTTTCACGTGGAAGAAGGCAACGATACTTTTCATATCATTTTTTTCGAACACTCGTTTCTTCCTGGTTGAATATGCTCCACTACCTTGCAGTTCGAGTAATCTAAGGGAAACTAATTAAAAATCTATCCGAAGCTACACTAGCTTCACGCGTATCTTCGTTTAGGCTGATCTCATCGGTAATTGTTTAACTTCTGTGCGTCTTTCAGCTTAAAGCTATCACTCGCGTGTGCCTTGGTTTTCATTGATTTGAAACATTTCAATCGAGTCGATGACGATCAATGAATCGCGCTTCGGATTCAGATCGCTATCGTTATGGGGTAAAACGATTCGCGCATGGAGAAAGGGGCGTTTGGAATGTAACGGGGCAACTTCGTCCTGACTACGTTCTGGTTCGTGTATTGATCGGCCAGGTGTGTGCACACAGCTAGCTACAGGATTTCTCGTTCCTCGAATCCTTCCACCTTGGGCCACTTAACCAAGGAAAGAAAAAATATAGCATTTTTTTTGGAACGAATCAATTCTCAACCCTTGTACACGGTATTCTTCGACCTTGTTAAAAAACCGTCTTATTCTCGATGATTTCATACTCCGAGATATTCGAATTCCTCTCTTCTTTTTCTGGCGCTATCGTAATGCCGGCTACGGGATCTATTCACGCGATCCGTGATCAAAAACACGAAACCACAGGGCGGAACTGGCTAATGATTAACACGAAATTATCAGATTGCGCGCATGTATGTACCTTTACGTACGTAATTGAAGAAATAAAATCTAGGCGGGGATTTCTTTGGTTTCGCGAGACAGATAGTATTTCGAGGAACGGATTAACAACACGTGTAGTTGCCTGGATGCATCGTACACGCCATCTCTCAATTTTTGTCTATCGTTTATTATAATTTTACGACTCGCGTAGAGCATTCGCGCGTTCGATCAACGTCCACCAAACTCGTGAACTATAACCGAAGCGATTCGTTGCAGAGATTGCGAAATGGAGCGCAATGCGGATACCAGCTCGATTAATCCTATTTAATCGATAACCCGATGCTTCCTATTTTCCAGAAACAATATGGCGTACGGACCTCGATTGGCTAGTGACTCACCGGGATCGTCTGGTTGTATCCAGTTTCATGAATCCAAACGTGAATCTCAGCATCCTAACGGGCTTCATAACTCCTCAGCCTTTCGTCACCTTAGCACCGGACGAAGAATCCGACAATATAGCCAACGACATCGTCACGACGAAATTGGAATTGACCGACGTTATTAATAAATCAACGGCAATGGAATTTCGACCACGCGACCGCACGAACGAACATCTTGGTCAGTTTCGTACACCAGCGAGTACCAATCTACCCGTACCCAATGCAAGAGTTTCAAGCGTTAGCACTACTTTGCCTACCAACAAGATTACGATGCCCATGACGCAAAAAATTATTAACGACACGACGAAAACACCGTCCATAGTCAATGGGGCGTCGAAATTAAATTCCACGAGACTGACATCCGCAGCTTCTCCGATTACAACAACAGCAACGACCAGTACAAATATGGCTGCAACAACTACGGCAACGATAACAACGACAACGACAGCGACGACAACGACGAGAGGCGTTAAAGCGCCTGCAAGCTCAGACGAGGCGGCAGCG